TTAAATTCATTAATGGAAAGATTTAATTCATACATAGTCATATTTTTTTAAAGATTCTTGTACTAAAACTTGCTTCTAATACTATATGCATGGGAGGTGGAGTTTAGAGAAAGCAAGCGACGCGGGTAGGCTAGTCTGGCAAAGTCGACAATTCTCAGTTGAATCCGACTTGTCGTTCAGCAAAGGCAACGCGCAATTTTTCAAAATTTAAATAAAATAAATAATAATAATCTTAAGTCCACCGCCCATCTTTGAGGGGTGGGGTATATATGACTTTCCGCCCTCTCCTGTCGCTTCAATAATAAATCTCCTTCACATTACATGCCTTATCAACTGCCCTTCTTTACGCCACTGTGACCAAATTGTCCTCCTTCCTTTTCAATTATTAATTATATGCCCTTTTCCATTCCTCCAATTTTACATCAACTCAATTTCTTTTTCTTTTTCTTTTTTTTAATCATTCAAACAAAATTTTAAAATTACAAATAATAATAATAATCATAAACTTTTTTCAAACATTCAAAAATATTTTTCGAGAATTTCAAAAAATAATATTAAAATTTTTTAAAATAATTTATGAGTTGTCCATATACTGTTTTCCGTTCATATATTAATAATAATAATTTTTAAAAATTTTCATAATTAGATATAATACTAAAAATATTTTTAAAATTTTTTAAACAGTAATAATATATATATTTTTTAAACATAACACTAACTCATAAATATATTTTTTAAATAGATAAATATATTTTTTTTTAACAGAATGCCAACGAAAAGTATTTTTAGAATTTTTTAAAATAATAATAAGAGTAAAACTATATTATAAATTTAATTTTATGAGCTCATTTTTATGTTACAAACCACATATAATTACATTGAATTAAAATTTTCTATTTTATCTCATAATATATATATATATATATATATATTATATATATTGAAGCGAGGAGATTTAAAAAATAATTACTAAATGCAAAAAAAAAAAAAAAAAAAAATTGTTTTATTTTTTAAATTGAAATTAATGAACCTGTTTTTATATTCAATTTAGTCAAATAAGATTTTAATAATAAAAAAAACTAAAAGAATTAATCAAATAAGAAAGTGACACGTCATCAAACAAGACCACCGCGAAGGAAACCTAATTTCGTTAGGTTTGAATTTAAACACGTGGTCAAACCCTGAACTGATAAGGTATTCATACTAGTTTAAGTTTGAATTATAATTTGACTAAATTCAGAATATAACATTATTAATTCAATTATAGTTCTTTTTTCAAATTAAAAAAAAAATTAATTGGTTGAAATTTGATCATCATGGCATTTATTTTGGTTGGCGGTTTATTTTGTTCACATCTTGTATTTAGATTTTATTATTATTATTTATTATAATATAAAATTATCAATTTTATTTTTTATTTTTTATTTACTCCGACGATAAAATTCGATCATTCGTAACAAAATACAACGAAGGGCAAAAACGTCAATAAGTAATTCTGTGGACACGAAAATCTTTAGAAACTCGTGTATGAAGAGGACATCAAAATTTTCTCGGATGTCTTCCATATAGGTATTCATCGATGTACGGAAATCTCAAAATACCTTATTATTTCGTGTTACTTTAAGAAAATAAAACTTTAATATTTAATAAATTAACTTTGATGTTAATATTAATTAGAAAATTGGCAATATTTTTTTTTAATAAAAAGTTCAGACACAAAATTTAAAAAAAGAAAATATATTTGTATTATAATGAAATATATAAAGTTAAAATATCCGCGACATTTTATTCAGTGGATGGCGAGAGTGAGCAGCGGTGGGACCTCGCTGCCTGCACGTGCTTCTTCGAAGCTTCCATTTTCACTTCTCTTCTATTTTAATTATTTTTATTATTTTCTGGCAGCTAAAATATATATATATATAATAAATAAATTGATAATGAACTGAGACCATATTAGTGTAAAAATATTCTTAAAGACGTGATGGTTAAGAAATATTTAAAAAAATTGATAATTACTATGTATATCAACAAAGTGTATGTTTAGTTTGAATTTTCTTAGACATGGAGCGTTACAGATGTTATCAAAGCAAAGTTTCTCCCGGTAGGATGTCGTTTGAGGACAAACTAAGGCAGAAGCTAGTTGACATGTGACACTCGAAACATAAATGAATTGTAAGATCCTACATCGATTGGAGAGGGGAATAAGTGACAGCGAGGACGTTGGTCCCCGAGGGAGGGAGGTGGATTGTAAGATCCACATTGATTGGAGAGATAAACGAGTATCAATGAGGATGCTAGCCCCAAACGGGGTGGATTGTGAAATCTCACATCTGTTGGAGAGGATAACGAAACATTTTTTATAACAGTGTGGAAACCTCTTTCTAGTAGACCTGTTTAAAAGTCCTTGACGGGAAGCTCGAAATGAAAAACATAAAGAGGACAATATCGGTTAGTAATGGACTTGGGCTGTTACATCTTCACTCTTAGAAGCACTCGAGTAAAAGGAAGTAATTTCGTCATGTCGTAGAGGAATATTAGGGCAACCAGGTGCTAAATCCAAATTTTAAACTCGAGTCCAAATCTCGAACATAAAAACATTATATTTAGCATCGAAAAAAAAGAATTAAGCTTTAATTTAATTCATTTGAGGTAGATTCATGAACGTAAAAAGTTTCCCATAACAAAGAAAATGGAAGAATTAATTAAGAGACAACGTCGAGGATGATGTTCATTGGTTTGTGGGCATGAAACATCAACACTCACTTTCGTTGTACCCTCTTTAAGAATATTCCAAATTCTCCATTTTCGATCGAATAAATTAATTACGAATTTCGAGTATTGGGTTTACTTCATTTAAATCTCGGAAGTTTAAAATGTTTCATACATGTATGTAAAATCTTTGGTAAGTTCTCGGGAGTCGAGAATATAATGTTTTGATTAGTCAAGAAGACGAACGTACATATCATTTCGAGTATTTAGTTGATAGTGTTGATAACATAGGTCAAGTGAAAGCCTTTAACTCGTAATTTAGATACTAAATAGTAGTGGTGTTCATGGGTTGAGTTAGGTTGGATCGAACAATGAACCTAACCATAAAATATTTGAGTTGGGTTAGTTTGGGTTGATCGGTTTACCTCAAAATACTAAACATAAATCAACAATGTGCACCTTCTTTTTCTGTGGCTCAGTCAGAGGAACTTCATGAGATAGTCAGCATGGTCATGTCGGGCCATCAAGTGGCATGCGAGTGAAAAAAAAACATCCTGAAAAGGCTCGTGTTAGTTTATGGAGATAGTCAAGTAACGTGACCATGTAGCAGGTAATGCAGGGAAATACCGAACGTGCAATAATTACTAACGGTTCAAAGCCTAGGAAATTGGGAAGGGACAAGGGGTTGAAGGGAGGGAAAACTTGGAAGGGTGAATCCATGATAAGAGGGGTCCCCCAAGTGTCCTTGCTAAGGGCAACATACCCTATTAAATTTCCTCACTTTATTATAAGTTCATCATTTTTATTTATTATTATTGGGTTCATCAAAATAATAAGTAGGGGCCAAATTTTTATTAGGGAATTAGTGAGGGGTCGAATGTTATATTCCTAATAGTTGTAGCCAGTTGTGCAAATAACAAAATTTGTAGGGGCTATTATTTTGCATGCAAGAATATATTTATTTGTAGTGTTTTAAGATTTAAAATTTGGAATTTTGTCCTCAAAGTTTTGATAAATTTGTCGTGGATATGAGTCGGATGATATATATTGAATATAAATTTTAAATTAATTAAATATTTGTAGGGACAAATATGGGATTTAATAAAAAAATATAAGATTTTGCTAATTAAATGAGGAACAAATAGAAATTGGATAACACTTCTTACAAAAAAAAAAAAATATATATATATATATAAATAACTTTTTTTAATTTACCGATAATTTAAAATTTTGTTGAGAAATAATATTTTCAGATTTATTGACACTTTTGAGTGGGAAATATTGTGTGAGTTGGGTCCTGTCGGGTTGGGTTGAATTGTAACCTTATTTTCAAGTTTCCGACAAAAAAAAAAAAAAAACATTTATGAATAAATTTAAACCCACCAGCTCGACTTCTTGACACCTGTTATTTTAAGATCATATCTAGTATTTAGAGTTTGCCTCGATTTGGTACTGCTCTCGCGGCCCGCACCGAAATAGTGCTTTACCCTTAGATGTCTAGTCAACTGTTGCGCCTCAACACATTTCGAGGAGAACCAGCTAGCTTTGGGTTCGAGTGGTATTTCACCCCTAACCATAATTCATCCGCTGATTCTTCAATATCAGTCGGTTCGAACCTCCACTTAGTTTCACCCAAGCTTCATCCTGGTCATGGATAGATCACCCAAGTTTAGGTCCATAAGCAGTGACAATTGCCCCATGAAGACTCGCTTTCGCTACGGCTCCAGTGGGTTCCCTTAACCAAGCCACTGCCTAAGAGTCGCCGGCTCATTCTTTAACAGGCACGCGGTCAGAGTACTGGTCTCCTCCCACTGCTTGGAAGCTTATGGTTTCATATTCTATTTCACTCTCCAATGGGGTTCTTTTCACCCTTCAAAATAAAAACATTAATAGTAACTATAACAAATTCAAAATAAAATTGAAAATCATATTAATTTTTTTAATTCAATAAAAATAAAATTAAAGCATACAAATGAATACAAAAAGAAACCATATAATAAAATCATAAATCGTATATATAATAATGTAAGAAATAATAAAACAAAGTTGTAGGTTGTAACACAAATAATAAAACAATAAAAAGAATGATAAAGGAATACGTGTTGGTAGTAGCGATAATATTAATTAATTTTTTATTTTATTTTATTTTAAAAAAGTGGTCCCCACCATCGTACACATATGGCCTGTCCTTTGCCTCTTCACAACCCCACATGATTTTGTTAAACCACATCGCCCATAAATACCACTCCCCATTCCTCCACGAAATCACAAACAATAATAACTTCATTTTCATCTCTTTTTCAGAGCTTAATCCAATGGCGGTGACCAGCAGACTGTCACAGGCGGCGGTGGTCAAGCAAATTATGAAGCGCTGTTCCAGTTTAAGAAATAAAAAGACTCACCAATGCGGCGGCGCTGGCGGCGGAGATATCCCGGTGGATGTTCCCAAAGGCCATTTTGTAGTGTATGTGGGTGAGAATAGAAGCCGGTACATTGTGCCGGTGACGTTTCTGTCGACGCCGGAGTTTCAGATTCTTCTCCAATTGGCTGAGGAAGAGTTCGGGTTTAGTCACCATATGGGCCTCACTATCCCGTGCGACGAGAAGGTTTTTCAGTCTCTACTCCGATCGATTGAGTCGAACCAAACCGAATGAACCTGTCTTTTTTCTTCTTTAGATTGTGAATTTATTAGGTGGTTTTGGAATTATCGCTCGAAATACTGTTCGAGAATTCTCGAACAATGTTTTAGATTGAGCATTTAAAATCTGTATCGAACGATTATTAGGGACATACAGATTTAGAAGCAGCATTTTCTTTTATTCTCAAACATATCGTACAAAAAAATGTCTTTTTTTTTTTGTTCATCAAATTATGGCAATTAAGTTTTTTTTTTACTTTTTTTTTTTCAATAATGTGGAGATGGTTTGGTCGATGTGGTTGGATCTGACCATGAAATTTGGGTTGTCGTTTTTTTAAGTTATTTACGTACCGAAAAATAATAATGTCTAATAAATCTCGGGAGATAATGAAATATTAGATTTATTTAATTATGGGGAATAATCCAAAGAAGATTATGATTAATGCATATAATTAAGGGAAATAATTGGATTAGGTTTAGGTTAAGTGAAGAAAATGTTGGAATATAATAATAATAATAAATAAATAAATAAATATGGGGAAATTCCGTACGATTTTAACAGAGTGGTTCTATAGCTTAGCTAGCTAGTTACGCGCTTCACCAGTTGTCTATGTCTTCTCTCTCTTCATTTAGGTTGGAGACAATAAAGCTGACATCATCGTACTCCGATGAATATGTTTTTAGCTTGATTTTTTATTTTATTTTTAAATGGAATCTTTTTTTAATATTTGGAGAACTCGATATTTTATTGCATCCCTGAAACATAACTATGTTACATACGGAACGAATCTAACATGTTTTGTCTTCATTCAGATATTTTTAATTGAGCTACCGAAAAAAAAAAAAGTGCATGTTTTGTCTTCATTTATTAAGATACTTTTTAATCCATTATATTAGGGATAGGTTTCCCTACCCTTTTGAGGCCTAGCATTCTCACTGGCACTCGTTCCCTTCTACAATCGATGTGGGACCCTCAATGTAACAACCCAAATTCACCGCTAGCAGATATTGTCCTCTTTGGGCTTTGGATCTGGGTTGTTACAAATGGTATCAGAGCCAGACATTGGACGGTGTGTCAGCCTTCTCGCTGTTCCCCGAAAGGGGTAGGACACAAGGCGGTGTGCCAGTAAGGACGCTGGACTCCGGGGTGGATTGTGATATTCCACATTGGTTGGGGAGGAGAACAAACCACCCTTTATATAGGTGTGGAAACCTTTTCTTAGCAGACGCGTTTTAAACCCTTGAGGGGAAGCTCGAAAGGGAAAGCCCAAAAAGGACAATATCGGCTAGTGATGGATCTAGGTTGTTACACCCAATCCACCCTCATTCGGGCCCGACGTCCTTGTTGGCACACCGCCTCTTGTCCACCTCTCTTTGGGGCTCAGCCTCCTCGTTGGCACATCAATTGGTGTTTGGTTCTAATATCATTTGTGACGCCCCAAGCTCTCCGCTAGCCGATATTGTCCTATTTGGACTTTCTCTTTCCACACCCTTATAAATAATGCTTCGTTCTCCTCTCCAATCAAAATCTCTGATGTCTTCATCCTAATCTCAACGGCACTGATAACTTAAAATGGGTCGGTATCTAAGTCAACGAAAAATGCATCTATCTAGTAGTAGTGACGACCTTGGACGCTAATTAGATTCCATTAATCAAATCCGATCTAATGATTAAAAACAAATGGGGATGAAAAGGGTAGTTCTAAAGTCAAATTAAGGTTTAATTAGTCAATTAATCAAAGTTGAGAAGGTGAGGGCATAGGCACATTGGGTGTGTGTTGGCCCATAGTCTTCCAAATTGTAATTAATTTGTGTTTGCGTGTGGGGCAGCCAAAGCCTCCCTTTCTTAAATAAACTGACCCATATGTTCTAGGGGGACCCTAATTTTAGCCTTGTAACAAATATTCTAGTTAATCATGCTCGCGGTACTATTTAGCCATTGTCGTTTTATTATTCAAGACTTACCTTAGAATACTTAAATTATCTCGAAGAAATCTGGAGTCGTTCTATGGAGTTTGATTGATTATCTGAACGATATTTCAAGGACACCTCGAGAATCGATACTCGTCTTTCTAAAAAGGAATTTTAGACCTATGAAATACCGAAGTCGTTTTGATAGTCAATATTAAGGGTAATCCAACAAAATAAATATATTTTAGATTTAAAATGGTAATTAAGAGTAATAAAATATGATTAATAAAAATTAATTAAGCATTATATTGTAATAATTATTTTATAAGAATTTTTTATTATTTTTTTATTGTTTTATTAATAAATTATTATAAATGTACGAAGATTTATAAATCTATTATATTTTATCCCATTTAATATTTAAAATACAAGTTGTGCTAAATATTTAGCATTAAAATTTTTTATATAATTTTTATTAAAATCATTTATTTGAAGATAATTATTAAATTTTATTATAAAATAAATTTAAAAACCTAAAATTCAAAATAAAATAATATTTAAAATTTAAAATTATTATCTAAAATTAAATAATATAATAAATATTTGTATAAATACATATAGAAATTTAAAAAAAAAAAAAAAAAAAAAAAAAAAGACTTTGGTGGGAGGTGGGCCATTTTGTTGGATTAGTCAAAGCCCAAAACTGACACCAATTTCTCCAACCGGCCTCTGAAATAAAATGAATTAAAAATTAACATTTTATCGGCAAAATTAAATGAATTAAAAATTAAAATTCAGCTTATCTGTTCCCTCACCAACTGACTTTCCATTTTCCACTGTTTTTTTTACGTCAAATTTTTCCACAAAACTTAAAATTCACGTGTTAGTTTTTTTTTTTTTTTTTCAAAATTTAAACCATCTTTTCACGTTTTTATTTTTATTATTTTTCTGTGTTGATATTATTTTTTTTTTCTTTCATGATATTTTATTAATTTAAAATTGAGAGCATTATAAGTCAGGCGGGTTCATGTAACCTAATAATCAGATCATTTTGAACTAGGTTGGGTTGTGAACTCTATTTGAGCGGCTCGGATCATCAATCTAACCAACTATCAAAATTTCGAATTAAAAAAATAGGTTAATGCATCATTTTTGTCAAAATTAATTAAAATACAAATTGAGTCTATTTTTAAAATGGAATAAAACTAATTATAATGTTTAAAATTATAGGAATTAAATTCTAAATTCTTTAAATTTAATTTAACCAAAAAATAATTTAATAAAAACATGGACCGATCTAGAATTCAAGGTTTCGTTGAATTGGTCCAAACTCCGACTTGGAAGACTTCCGCGTAGACGGTGACGTGGAGGTGGGGGAGCCCATAATAACAAGTGGACTATTCCACACGTGATTTTTCCACCGCCACTCTTCAATAATGAGTTTTTATTTAATTTATAAAAATTTAATATGTTTAGTTCACATTTTAAATTTACTATTAAAAAAATATTTTTAGTTTAATAGGTTTGAATATTAATTTTTAATTTAATTTTTTTAAAATATAATAAATTCTGTAGAATTAAAAAAATATATTTTAGGAATAAGTTCTAAATTTCTAATTTATTTAATAAGCTAGGCAATGAACTGTATAATGTCTTATAAAATTATGCTCTAATAATTTATGAATTTTTATTATAAAATCATTTAAATTTGTTAGGGTCTATTTAGTTTAAAGTTGTGTTCACGATGCTTCAAAAAATTTGTGTTTGATGTTACAATAAAAATATTATCAAAATTTCATATAAATAATGTATTTTCAACAATTTTATTACATTATTTAATATTAGATAGTTAATTGTGGTAAAATAAATCTAGTAAATAAATAATTCATTCATTTAATGAATTTGTTTGTCAAAATAAATTAAATATATATTTAAAAAGTTATTATTGATGTATTATAATTAAATTTACTAAGATCAATGTTTAATCTAAATAAAATAAATATATATAGAATGCTATCAAAATTTTATATAAATAAATATTATTTTTTAAAGTTTTCATAACTACCTTTAATGTTATTACGATAGAGGAAATAATTAAATTTGGTTAGTTAATTTATTTTTATTAATAAAAATTATTAAAATAATTTACTTTTTATTTAATAATAATATATTATACATAAGATGTACTCCAAATTTATTTAGTAGTCAATATTAATACTTATTCTCAAATAAATTTATAAGAACAATTAAAAATAGAGACCATAATAAACATAAATAATTAAAAAACAATAAAGAAAATCAAGATAAATAAATAATTGGAGAAAAAATAAGACATATATAACAAAACAAAAAAAATGAAAACCCCATCCCTTTGCATGGGTTTTATCTATTAGCGGGCCAAGAAAAGTAGGCCCACTAACAGGCAGGAAATATTGAGGTTGGCCCAATAAGAATACGATGGACTTCTTGGCCCAATAGGTCTAGTAGCGGCTTTCGTGGATATTGAGGTTGGCCCAATAAGCAGCTCAAGTCTATGACTAGTAGCCATTGTTTGTTTCTCCTCGTCAGCATCACGATTTTAAAACTGTGAGCCTACTGACCCCTCCAGTGAAACCATTCTCGGTCTCACACTTTCCAGACAACCCCTCACAGACTAGTTGCCTGCAACTGGCGCCTCGCGTTGCTTAGTCAACCTCACATAATAACCAGCCATCCCACGCTTGTTGCTTGCTGTCGCATGCTGCACGCCTGCACTGTGTCACAACCTTACTATGAAGAGAGTAGGTTGTGACCCTCACGCCATGACAAGCAAAGGGGCGTCCCTCAAGAGACGCCCATCCGGCCATATGCGGGCCAACGTAGAAGATTGCCATGATGTGATCGAGGAGGACAATGCATCATCCAACACACCACCACGCAAAGTGGGCATTGAAGACATGTTGAGACACAAGCATAACAGAGACATTAGCATAGACATGAAGGACAAGATAAGCTTGTTGAAGGGCCGAGTAGGGCCCCGGGCCTTAACCTCAAAAGTCGAGGTTTCGGAAGGAATTTGGTCATGCGGTTCGAGAGTTAAGTCCGTCCATATGAAATATGAATACTCGCCCCGTTTGGTGTCAATCGGACATTGGACGGACAATGCACGACACCGTATGACACCTCACGAAAATCATGTCTACTCCTGTTAGAATGAAAATGGCTCAAAATGTACTATAGGGGGTACCATGGTGTTAGCTCTCCACCACCTCTGGGCCCTGTGGCACATACG